ATGTATAAACATGAGATGGTGAAATTCTATAGGTAAGGACTTCAACTCAGTAGTAAAGGACTTAAGAGGAGCCTCCTGGATCAGGCCATTGGCCCATCCATCTAGTCCAGCATCCTGTTCTCACAGTGACCAACCAGATGCCCGTGAGAAGCCTGCAAACTGGACCCAGGCACAAGAGCCCTCTCCCCTCCCGTGGTTTCCAGCAACTAGTATTCAGAAGCATTTCTGCCTCCAAACTGAGGCATCCCCTTCACACCAAGGAAGAAGGGGTGAGGGAAGATCTACTGCAGGAACAAGGAGGGAAGAAAGATTGACGGGAACTGCTGCCCATGTGGACGCTGTTGCCTGAGGTGGTTGCCTCACCTTGCTTTGTGGATGGGCCAGCTAGCCCTGGCAAGTAGCCATCAATAGCTCTCTCCTCCATGAATGCACCCAGTCCTCTTTTAAAGGTTGGTGGCCATCATTGCCTCCTGTCGGAGCGAGTTCCGTAGTTTAGCTATGCACTGCCTGAAGGAGGACTTCCTTTTATGTATCCTGGATCTTCCAACATTCAGCTTCATTGACTGTCTGTGAGCTCTAGCATTATGAGAGAGAGAAACTGTTCTATATCTGCTTACTCCATGCCATGCATAATTTTATAATCTTCCATCATGCCACCTCTGACTCGTCTTTTCCCTAAATTAGAAAGTACCTCATTCTTCAGCCAAAAAGTCTCTCAAAGTGACATATGTGCAATCAAGTAAAACAAGACAGTTCTGCCTGCAGGCTTATAGTCTAAAAGCATGACATGCAAGGGGGAAGGGGCAGAGAGGGAAGGGAAGGGAAAGCAAATTCAGGTACCAGTTCTTAGATAGTATTATTATACTGACCAGCTGGCACAGAAGCTCACCAAATGCCAACTGTGCCATGTTAAAAGGACCAAACACTTAATCTTGTCATGCTTTGTTCAAAGCATCACAGTTTGCATAGCAACAAATGACTTCTTCTGTGATGGCTGATCATATGGAAAAACTTCAGTCCCTGTGTGACACGGACTTAACATGGTTATCAGTAAGCATCATTTCTTCTCTGCATTATTCTGAGTATCCTGAGTATCCAAAGTACACATTCCTCACTGAACAACAAATCTGGGCAGAAGACATGGCCTGGTAAATACTGCTATCAGTATTGTAAAGTTGAATGGAGTTTCCCTCCCAATTTTCACCAGTTTCAGCCAGCAAATACAACTTCTACAAATTGGAGGCCATAGACCAGTGGTCTTCAGCAGGTGGGTTGGTACCCATTACCCAGTCACAGACTGATTTTAACAGCAACACTACCACCATACAAATACACAGTAAAAAATTAAGCAATAGGTTCTGAAATGCTTATTTGGGTTAAAAGTTAAAGGTCTGAAGAAGCTGAAGACTACTGTTCCAGAACAGCCACCCCAATCTGGTGCCCTACAGTTGTTTTATATTATAACTTCCATCAGCCCCAGCCTGAAACATCTGGAGATCACCAGATTAGGAACAGCTCTTCTACAGCCTTTTTCCCCCTTTAAGGGAAGGGGGAGAAAGCAAAACTTTCTGAACTCCAGGTCAATGGGTTTTGTGTGCATGCTTTTTTGGATCTTCTCCCATGTGACCAAATTTCAGTCCAACTCTTCATGTGTAAATCCTTCTTAATTGCATTCTGAATCTGGTCCATTAAACTTAATATCTCAAGAAGCTTTTGTGTCAGTGTTTCTTGGACTAAATTCCCCCTTAACAACCACATCACAGGATGAATTTCAAACCATACAGAGACCATATAACATTTTACTGCTGCAGGTTCAATAGGCAGGAACATTTTTTGGAAGTATCCAATTTAATAAGTCGGCTCCAGCTTGCTTTTTCCAGCCTCACCCCCACCTACCCCACAACTGCACCTTTTCATATATATCTATTATTTGCAGTATTTTGGAAGTGAGCCACGTAATCCTATTAGAAGTACTTGATTACACTGTGTGCCCTGTTTGTATGCAAAAGAGCCACTTGCAGTAAAGGTTTGCCTCCCGTCTGCCCTTTCTCCGGTTGTATTTTACCCTGCCCAAACAGGAGCCCAGTTGGAGTGAAGTCGATCCCAGGGACCCCCTGCTGTGTCTCAATTATTGTCCTTTTTTAAAGCTTTCAATTTATTACAGGAAAGCCTTTGGCTAAATTGGTTTGGGGAGGGAAAATATAATTAATTTGAAAGATAATCTGCTCTCACAATGGAAGGTTTCTTTGTGCTGAGTGTCTGGGAAAAGGTTGGGTTGAAGAAAGCACTCTGGACATCTTAGCTTCCTTCTTAATTGGGCACTTGCTGTTCTCTGAATATCTTGAGGCGTGATGAGGACTGGCTGTACTGGGAGACCAAGTCATTTGCTGAATTCATGCAGTACAAACGGAAACTCATAACTACAGAACAACAAGACAATCCAGAGGCTGCATAGACAGACCTCCTTTTCAATTGATTTAATAGTACTTTCAGATGTTAGGTGTGTTGATCTAGTTCAGCCTCTGCCAACCTGTGACCTTCCAGATGTTTTTGGATTCTGCCTCCTGTTAGTCCCAGCCCCAGCCTGGGAGTTGTAGTGCAGCAGCACCTAGAGGGCACCATGATGGGGAGGCTGAGCTGCTAGGCAAGGCAGCATGTCCAAAGGTAGCACCCCATCAGCCAAGTGATGAAAGTAGAAACCTGTTTCTTTGGACACCTGGAGAAAATATCTCACACAGGAGGCATAATATAGGTTTTAAGGGGAACAAGAAATGCAACATGCAGGCTTTAAAACTGAATTTTACAGGTAGTTCTGGTAGAAAGAAACAGCAACAAAGAGGTGGAGAAGGGAAATTTCATAGAATCATAGAATAGATTGGAAGGAGATCCTGAGGGTCATCTGTTGGCATTGTGTAGCAGCTATTGCATGAGCAGCTAAAAGAGATCAGAGCTGAGATGGATAAGATAGTGAATGAAAATAGACCAGAGAAAGATGAGATGGAAAATGAGGTTAAAGAAAACACAGAACTTTTGGAGAATATTATTGATAAAGGACTGCCAGAACAGGGAGAGCAAAATGTTAAAGTTGGTGGCAATTGATGATAAAATTGTGAGGATCTTCACACAGGTGCTCTTGTGTGAATAAAGATGAAGGGTTTATTGTTTCCCAACATGGAGGAATGGTTGTTGAAGTTACTGGAGGTAAAGTTCTTGTGCTGGACTGGAGGGTGATTCTTGATGACGTAAATTGATAATAACAATTGAGGAACCCATATTTTGTGTGGAAAGGAAAATGAATGGACTTGAGATGTTTGGGTCTGAAGGTTGGGGAAATATCACCTAACAGGTGGGGGAACAGCTGGATGTCATCCTGGAGTGAATAATTGGAATACTTTGAATAATCTTTTTATATGTACTGTATCTGACAAACAGAAAATCAGAAGCCCTTTTTCTTTCGCTTTTTGTTTTTTTCTGTTTTAATTCTTTTATTACTTTTATCTTTCTTCTCTTTCTTTTGTTCCCCTTGCTGTGTGTGTGTGTGTCCGCTACTCTGGGTCATTGAAAGGATTGTATGCACATGAAGGTGATGGTTGGTTGATGAAGGACCCTGTGCGAGAGGCAGGGAAGGGAACTTCTCCCAGAGTGGGAGACTGGGAGAAGAAAGGGAAGCTCCCAGGTGAGAGCTAGGAGGGTCATAGGATTATAGAATCATAGAATTGTAGAGCTGGAAGGGACCCTGAGGATCATCGGGTCCAACCCTCTGCAAGGCAGGAATATATAACTGTCCCATATGGGGATCGAACCTGCAACCTTGGTGTTATGACCATCACACTCTAACCAGTTGGGTCCACCCTCTTCTGTGTGAGACAAGGATTAAGATCTACCTTTCAGAGAGGGCTTTGAATTTTCTTCACTCTTCTTCTTCTTTTTGTAGATTAATATTTTTTTATTGCATTGTATGATAGAAAAGTTTTCCCCAAAAATTATTTGGAAAAAAAGAATTTTGTTTCATGTCATTTGAATCTATTGGCCTTTGGAACTCTCCTGACATCACACCTGTCGCTGGCCCTTCTTCACACCTTGATTGTTTTTGCATGGCTGAAATGTGTTCCTGAACTCTGTTAATATTGATTTATTTCATAAAATTTATTTGCAGCTTGATTGTAAAAAAAATAAACAGCTCAAAAAACTCAAAGCGATTTATGAAAAGAACAAAACAATATTTTTTCCCATAAAGCAGTCAAAAACAGCTATTTAAGACAATAATTAAAATCAATGATAAGCTAAAACATGAGTGCTGCCACATTAAAATATTGAGTTCTTACAAATACTGAATGGTTAATATGTGGCACTTGGACCAGGGCCAGTTTTATGGGTCAAAAGTGGTCAACTGGGCATATATGGGATAAGGCATCTCAGAGAAGCTGGTCCCAAGTTGTGAAGGGCTTTGTATACTATTAGTTAACGTTTTGAACTTGGCCAGGCAGAAAATTGGCAACCAGCACAAGTCTCTGAGCACAGGTGTTATATGCTGGCAAGGTCTCACCCCTGTCAGCAATCGTGCTGCAGCATTCCACACTAGCAGCAGCTTCTAGGTCCAAGTGCAAGGGAAGCCCCATGAGGAGCACATTGCAATAATCCAGTCTTGAAGTCCTCAGAGCATGAACTACTGCCTGATACTAATGCCTCTTGCTTGTCTGGATAAAGGATAGAGAGGAGTTTGTGTGTAGAAAGCCTCTGCAGAAAGGTAGCATTTACTGCTTTTCCTGCAAGTTGCTCCACCCAGTTTTGTGCCTGGCCCCGCCCACTTCTGGGAAGGCTGCCCAAAAGGGAAAGTGACCCTTTGGAGGAAAAAAATGTTACCTCTCACTGGTCTGGAGTCTAAAAGGACTTAACTGCATTTTGGCTTCTTTACTGCCATTGATGCCCAGCTGGACCTTGCTTTTACCAGGTGCCGTTCTCACCTTCCTCTCCTCCCATCTCTCTTTTCCCATTTGCAGCCTGGGTTGGATCCTTGGGCATGGGGATGATATTCTTCTGCTCTCCTATCGTGAGCATCTTCACCGACCGGATCGGCTGCAGGACGACGGCTGCCTCGGGAGCAGCCATTGCCTTCATAGGGCTCTTCTCCAGTTCCTTCACCAAGTAAGTCTTCAGAACTTTGATCCTGCATCACTGTCCAGCATTAACGTCTGGTGTGAATTGTGCTTTAGGGCTCTTCTTATACTCTGTTACCAAACCAAGGCAATTGGTGTTTTAGCGAAGAAGAAGAAGAAGAAGAAGAAGAAGAAGAAGAAGAAGAAGAAGAAGAAGAGGAAGAAGGAGGACCCAGATCCTGCACTGTGTTTTTGTCTTCCTGATTGTCACTTCAGATCAACTGCAGAGGTCCACTTTCATGGAGAATAATGGCAACTAGCCATGAGGGCTATAATAATAAGAATTTATTATTTCTACCCCACCCATCTGGCTCGGTTTCCCCAGCCACTCTGGACAGCTTTCAACAGAACATTAAAAACAGAATAAAACTTCAAATATTAAAAACTTCCCCAAAGAGGGCTCCATGGTTGGAGGCAGTATCCTTCTGAATACCAGTTTCTGGAAACCACAGGACAGGAAACTGCCCTTGTGCTTGGGTCCTGCTTGCGGGTTTCCCACAAGAATCTGGTTAGCCACTGTGAGTACAGTGTTGGGGCTAGATGGGCCATTGGCCCAATCCAGCAGCTGTTTCTTATGGGATAATGCTAGAAAAAGCCAGTTTGTGGCATGCATCTTAGGTGGTCCATCCCATGCATGCAAGCAACCATCTGAAGTGCCTGATTCTGTTGACACCCTTCAGAGGGGCATGCATTTGCAGAATGTTGCATATTCAGGAAACTCATCGTAAGAAGGGGTGCAAGTTGAGGGGCCAGGAGAAAATATTGTCCTGTGTACCTGGCTCTGGCCAGCCCGAAACATGGAGCCTTCTTTTTATTTTAGAGACTTGCAAAGGGCACCTTTCTCCTCTTCCCCACCTCATCCAACCTCCTCCTGCACCCCATCCACCCTTGGTGCTGTGCGGTATAGTGCAAAATGGCTCAGGATCCAAGCTGTCTGCCTGATATTTGGGTTTATTGTTGCTACTAAGATGCAAGAGGAGAGGATATATTTCAACCTCATCACGTACACATTCCCTTCACAACCCTACTGCTCAACCCCAGGGTATTATTAGGCTCAGCCAGCCTAGTTCTCTCTTCCCCTTCTCCTCATTTACCCAACCCCAGCTGACTCTCAGTGTCCTTCAGCCATAAACGCAATTCTTAGGCTTGCACAGCCCGCCTAACTGTAAACCCCTTTGGTTGTTTCGATGAAGTCCTATTCAGAGCAAACCCACTGAAATGGGTCATGTCAGTCATGTCCATTAACTTCTTTAATTTTATTGTTCACATAATGCAATAGAAGATTCAAAATGTAGAACAAAGAGAGAGGGGGAAAAACAGATAAAATCCTGGAAGTAAATAAAATAGTATACCTAATAGGAGATAAGGTAACAAGAAAGGAGAGAGAATGCACATCAAATAAAGTGGCCCCATTATTTTCAATATAAGTATTATGTGTCCCAAGAAGGAAGGTAGCAAAGTTTGTTGTAATAGTTTGCATTGATGTAGGAGATCTTTACTTCTACAGGGTCTGGTTCTGCTTTTCCATTCTTAGCTCATACGTGAGTCCAGGATTTTAACGAAGCGGTTCGGCAAGTCATATGAATCCCATCTCCCCCAAATCAAAGGCAGCAGCAAGAACAGAACTTCCTGTCATTGACATTCAGTCTGAACCCAGAAGTTCCCTCTTCATGCAGTGAGGAGTTGCCTTTCTTACTTTTATGTCCTATGTTTTCAGAAGCTTGCTTGGCCATTTAGATATACATTTTTTAAAAATTAATAAATCATATTTATGTATTTATTATTCCATGGAATTTATACTTGATTGTAAAAAAACAACGTCCCTCAAATCAGTTTACAAAAAGATAAAACAATAAAATTATCACTAAGAGGGGGAAATAAAAATTTAAGACTTTTGAAAGGTTAAAATAACAATAGGCTAAACACAGATTAAGGAACGTGGGTGGCGCTGTGGTCTAAACCACAGAGCCTAGGGCTTGCTGATCAGAAGGTCGGTGGTTTGAATCCCCACGACGGGGTGAGCTCCCGTTGTTCGGTCCCAGCTCCTGCCAACCTAGCAGTTCAAAAGCACGTCAAAATGCAAGTAGATAAATAGGTACCACTCCGGCGGGAAGGTAAATGGCATTTCCATGTGCTGCTCTGGTTCGCCAGAAGTGGCTTACTCATGCTGGCCACATGACCCAGAAGCTGTACACCGGCTCCCTCGGCCAATAAAGCGAGATGAGCGCCGCAACCCCAGAGTCGGTCACGACTGGACCTAATGGTCAGGGGTCCCTTTACCTTTAAACACAGATTAAAACTCGCACCGGCTTTCTAAACATCTGGGTAGGCTTGTCTAAACAAAAATGTTTTTAGCAGGCGCCGAAAATAGTACAGTGCCTGCCTGGTATCAATAGGCAGGGAGTTCCAAAGTGTAGGTGCTGCCACACTAAACGATGGAGTTCATACAAATGTGGGTTTGTATTGGGCACCTGAAATAGTGCCAATACCACATATGGGAGTGGTTGGGTGGGCGTTCATGGGGTAAGGTGATCTCACAGATAAACTGGCCTCAAGTTGGTAGGGGCTTTATATGCTGATAGTAACATCTTGAACTTGGCCTGGTAACAGATTGGCAGCCAGTGCAGATCTCTGAGCACAGGTGCTGTATACTGACAAGGCCTCAATTCCTGTCAGCAGTTGTGCTGCAGCATTCTGCACTAACTGCAGCTTCTAGATCAAGCACAAGGGAAGCCCCACTTAAAACACCTTGCAGTAATCTTGTCTCCAAATAATATTCTCTTGCTATATAAAATTAAATCTGCATGCTTAGGGAGTCCTCTGAGTATGCAGAAACTTTCAGTCAGCCTTGTTTTGCTTTGAAATTAACAAGCATTCAGCCACCTATGTTCAAATGCTTAGTGACATAAAACTTTTCCCATGCCTTTTAGAGCATGTCAACCACTGTGGTGCTGCTCTTAAGATGTTGTGGCCTATAACTCTCATTGTCCTTGGCCATTGACCATGCTGGTTGAAGATGATGACTGTGGTAGTCCAAAACATTTAGAGAGGACCATCACGGTGGTCACTCTGGTTTAAGCTTTTAGTGCCGGTTGAATGCTAGAGGGACTTGGGCCCAACATCAAGTTCGGCTGAAGCAGGATCAGCATCTTCTGAAAGCCTCTTGGGTCCTTTCAGGGATTGTCCACACTTGACTTATCCTCTGCCCAGAAAGCAGGGGTCCAAGTGGTTTCCTCCTTCCCCGCTCCTTTCCCAGGGAAAACCTGCTCTTCAGTGCTCAATCAGAGCAAATGTCAATCTGGAGAAAACCTGAATTGCCAATAATAGCCATCTGCCTACTTGGAAATAGACCATCTTCTCTGAACTATAGCCCAGATGGCCACATCCTTAAGCTTTCAAAAGAAGATTTTTTTTCTGCCACACTAAAGTCATTAATAACTGCTAAACGCAACATTAACATTAAAAAACAGAGGAGGTTCATGTTTTTATGTAAGCCAGAACACAATGACAAATGGCCCTTGCAAGCTTTGCTTGGCTATGCATACTAAAAGGAAACATCAGGATATTAAATGGGTTTTTAGCGAAGAATGCATTCTTGCCATAAAATACTTATTTTCCCCTCAGCAATGTGCTGTTCCCACCAAAACACAGAGTTCTTTTTCTGTTTATTTTTAGGGTTTCAAAATGTCTGAGGCTTTCATGCTTGCTGCAAGTTGCAGGTTAGATTTTCAACAGATTTACAGGCCAGCACAATTGAAACCATTCAGTCTTCCTCTATCTTTGAAGCATCGTTGCGCGGCCAAGAATTCCATTCCATTTGTCCTTTATAACCTGTAACTCCTCCAGCCAAGCTTCAAATTATAGGCTATGACCAGAATCCTCAAGTTTAAAAAACACAACGCCACAAACTGCTGGAAAATAATGGAAATAAATCATGTTGTTATGACTTGAGGTTGGGGGTTGGAATACCACTTTTATGTAACATTGTAAAGTATCTTAAAATCTCTGGATACAATCCAGCCATAATTAGGCACTGTTAAGAGATTATGTAAATGTTGACTTCATTGTATTGGCTTGTATTAAATTCAGATTTCATTTTCAACTCCACTCACTTCAAGCAAGAGAGCTAAGCACTTATTGTAAACAAGTGGTATTTTTAAAAAAAGAATAAAAAAATAAAGACATGTTTAAAGTGTCCCACTGAAATCATTAAGATTAAAATGCCACAGCTTTGGCTGGATCCCACCCAGTATTCAGCTCCAGAAGAGAAACCAGGCAAGATATTGCCCAACTAAAGCCTTAAAAGTACAGTCGTACCTTGGTTTTCGAACAGCCTAGTTCTCAAACGTTTTGGTTCCCGAACGATTAAAACCCAGAAGTGACTGTTCTGGTTTTCAAGCGTTCTTTCGGAAGCCAAACATCCGATGGGACTTCCACAGCTTCCGATTGACTGCAGGAGCTTCCTGCAGCCAATCAGAAGCCATGCTTTGGAAGTCGAATGGACTTACGGATCAGATTCCATTCGACTTCCAAGGTACGACTGTATAGTGACATTGGAGAGATAATCGAAACATGAGGGCAAGGCAGAGGACTCCTCCACACTGCTGTCGTTACTGCAGCTGCCTTCTGCAACATGTTCTTGACACAATAGTGCATTAATGGTGGATTTGTTCTGCTTTATTACTTGTTCTGCAATGCTTCCCCAATGCTACCGCATTATTACTATCAAGAGGGACCGGACCGCAGCATGACAAAATTGGGCCAAAAAAAACCCCTCAGAATTTTTTATTTATTTATTGGGAAGTTTTAGAATGTGTACTGTTTGGCTACGAGGCAGTATGACTGGCCCAAAACATTTGCAGGCCAAACATCCTTGAAAGTCGGGGTTAATTTTTAACACAGAAAGTTGCCTTATACCATTTCAGTTCATCTAGTCAAGTATTGTCTGGTCCTGATGGACAGCAGTTCTCCAATGCCTCTAGAAGGGTCTGTTTCAGCCCTGTCACATGAGTGGTGGTCTTTTTGTAACTAAAGGTGCTAAGAATTGGACCTATTATTTATGTGTGTTGCAACTCAGCTATAATACCTGTTACTTGATACTCTTTGAGATGGCATGGAGTTATAAATGGATGACATGGAGTAAGATGACACCTCAGCGTGCAGTACCACTTTCTGTACAATACTCTCCCAATTCTTGGTAGTTCCTCCACCCTCAGAAGCTTGAATGTGTTTGCATACCCTCCAACATTTCTCCAAGGAAAATAGGGACGTGTTGTTGTTGTTGTTGTTACTATTATTATACCCCACCCATCTGACTGGGTTGCTCCAGCCACTCTGGGAGACTTCCAACATATATAAAAACATGATAAAAAATTAAACATAAACAAACTGCCCTATGCGGAGTCGCCTTCAGGTATCTCCTAAAGGTTGTATAAGTTACTTATTTCTTTGGATCAGGGGTTGCATAACTCCAAACCCTCTAACATTTTCCCAATGAAAAAAGGGACGCCCTAAGGGAAAGCGGGACATTCCGGGATCAAATCAGAAGCGGAGCATCTTCTGTAAAATTGGGACTGTCTCTGGAAAATAGGGACACTTGGAGGCTCTGTGTTTTGTGACACAGGAGAGTGCATTTTCCATGGCAGCTCCTCAACTGTGGAACTCCTTTCTCATGAAGGTGCATCTGGCCCCCTCATTATGCAGCTTCCGGACGATGCTGAAGATACATCTCTTTACTCAGACTTTTGACACTTGAGATACATCTTTTTAGAGACCAACTTATTTATGTAATTTTAAGTTGTTTTAAACTGTTTTTAATAATACATAATTTTGTTTTTTAATAGTAGTATTGTACCTTAATTACTGCCACTCAGCCTGGGAAGGGCAGGTAATAAGAAAAAGAAAAAGAATACACATACCCCATGGTCAACAGACTTCTGCTTTGTCAGAGGTTTCAGATCATGTTCTGAGATGGCAAATTAGGCTTAGCTACCATGGGCTGTGGCTTTGTCATCTCAAGAAAACTAAGCAAAATCATTTACTTGAAGACACTTTCCAAAAGGGCCAATAGATCATGGGCTGCACAGAATTTTGCCGAGGGTTGCACAGAATATTTGAGAATCTGCTAAGCACCTGCACCCCAGCAGGAGGTCTGCTAAGAACCTGCTGTAATGAGGAGGTAGACTCACTGAAGGAGGAGAGGCATGGAGGGCGTCTTTCCCAAGGAGCCTAAAATCTGTGCTTTGCTTGATTCTGATGTGGGGCGTTGACTTCATTTCAGCTAGGCTTGAAAACTTTCAATTTTGAAAGCTGAGCTGTGAGGGAAGAAGTGAGTGGAGATCTTAATCTGTTCTGGGATCTGTTCTCCATCTCTGCACATTGGCACAGTACAGTTTGTATTTTTATAGTCCAGAGAAGAGTTTCGCCTTTGAAGTAGCTGAGCGCTGAAGCTGTTAGTGGCTGTGATGTTGTGCTTCTCCCAAGGTGTCTCTGATGTGGTTTGGAAGAACTGAAAATTGGCTTTCAGGACAGCCTTTGAATAGCATCAGGTAGAAATTGTGTGTCTCTTTGTGCTTGAGTAGCCAAGGAGAAAGGCATGTCATGGAATAAATGATACCCTCATAAATGTTTTCTTAATTTCCTCTTGCCTCATTTCTTGTGGGCAGGACCACCTATACCTGCCTTATTAGGAGCAATTTATGAATGTTCTGTTTTTAGAAAAGAATAAGATGTTGTTTTAAGCCAATTTCCTTCCATAGTACATTACAAGGCTCAACAGACAGGGTTTTGTTGAGCTTTCTGCTGAAATGCAGAGTGGATGAAGCTGTATGATTATCCTTCTGAAATGAATGGCGTCGCCTTCTGGCAGCCATCTTGTTATTACTTTTTTTAAAAAAAGAAAGAAAAAGTCTTAGTGGTTGGAAAGTATTGGAGTGATGCTGGTAGAGATTACTCCCAGAGTGGCTAACCAGAAGCCTCTGAGATGCCTGCAAGCAAGGCTGCTGTTGCCCTGTTCCATTCCTGCACTTCAAGCTGATTGAATAGCCATTCCTTCTCCGCAGGTAATCTTGGTATCTGTACAGTGGTACCTCGGGTTAAGAACTTAATTCGTTCTGGAGGTCCAGTCTTAACCTGCAACTGTTCTTAACCTGAAGAACCACTTCAGCTAATGGGGCCTCCCGCTGCTGTTGTGCCGCCGGAGCACAATTTCTGTTCTCATCCTGAAGCAAAGTTCTTAACCCGAGGTATTATTTCACGGTTAGCGGAGTCTGTAACCTGAAGCGTCTGTAACCTGAAGCGTCTGTAACCCGAGGTACCACTGTAGTTCTGCATCAAGAGCTGGGGGGGGGGGGTTGATGAGATTAGGGATTCTCAACACAGCAGTTTACCAGACTATAACTCCCAGTGTTGTACTGCAGATATGTCTACATAAAAGAGGAAGGCTCTGTGGACCAGAGCAGGATGTGTCTGATGTCAGAGATAAACTCTGTAGTAGTAGTAGTAGTAGTGGTAGTAGTAGTAACTTCTGTAGTAGCACCACCACAGCTACCCTGGTCTATAGAATCCTCTCCTCAGGGAGCCCTGCCTGGTGCCAACTTCCTTATCTTTTCAGCACCAGGCAAATAGATTTTTGCTCCCCTGGGCATTTGAGTAACATCATTGGCTGGATGAGTTGCTCTTCTTTCCTTTTAGGGTGTGTGTTCAGCTTAGGTTGGGATAGTATGTTTGAGAAGAGCCCTTTTATGATACTGTATCCTTGAATCTGGTTTTAATGTGCTTATCTGATTTTCACTGTGTTACTTTTACTTTGATTTAGTTTACTAAACCTAAGTTGTTAAACTCCCACATACCTGAGGTGCATCTGAAACCCTCATTGTAGAGCTTTCGACGAATGCTGAAGACACATGTTGTTGTTGTTGTTAATATTCCTCCTTTTCCCCAAACTCAAGGCAGCTTACACAACTTCAGACAACACAGATAAATTACAAAAAAGCTGAAAACATATAAAGGATATCATTGAAAGATAATTGAACCCTAACACAATTAAAACAATATAAAAATCAAACAGATTAGAATACAGATAATAAAAACAGCATAGCACTATTGAAAGCCCTTTCTTTAAAAAATAACAGTCAGTTCCCAAAGGCCTGTCAGAATAAAATAGGCTTCATCAGATGGCGTAAGAACAAAGACATGACAATGGTGATGATGGAAAGTAACTGGTGTTTATTTGTTTCCAACAGATCTCTTGAAGTCCGTTATTTCACTTATGGAGTCCTCTTCGGCTGTGGCAGCTCCTTTGCCTTCCAGCCCTCTCTGGTCATCCTTGGTCACTACTTCAAGCGGCGCCTAGGCTTGGCTAATGGCCTGGTGACGGCTGGCAGCTGTGTCTTCTCCATGGGCCTGCCTTTCCTCTTGAAGATTGTTGGCAGGGCCATTGGGCTGGCCCACACTTTCCAAGTTCTCAGCGCCTTTATGCTCGTCCAGATCTTCTTGTCCCTAACTTTCCGTCCCATGTTCCCTTCGACCTCTGACCCCCACGACGTGGAGCACGTGAAGCTAGACAGCCGGAGCTGGCGGCAGCAGTGTGCATCGCAGATGCGGAAGTATTTCAGCCTAAGGGTCTTCAGGAAAAAGACCTACCGGATCTGGGCTTTCGGGATTGCAACTGCCGTTCTGGGGTACTTTGTACCTTACATGCATCTGGTGAGAGGAGGAGAAGACAGTCGGGGGTTGGGAAAGGTTGATATAAGGGAGTGAGGGATGGTGAAGGTGGTTCAGAAACCAGTGTGATTAGTTTTTGATGAAGAAGCTCCACAGGAACACAGCCAATCTGAGCAGGAGGGAATATTATGAGACTAATTCTGATTGGCTGACTTTCCTCCTACCTGGTGAGACTGTAAAATTGGTACATTGCCACTGAGGGAAATTTCATAATAACGATTGCGGGTTACACAGATTCCTTATTGCATGCCAGTGCTTGAGAGACTTCGCTGTTATTACAAACCACCAAAAATAGTTCATTGAAAGTCAGCCAAGTTGGAAACATAAGAGCTATCCTGAAACTCAGCATCTTGAGAGCATTCTGCTGCCTCATCAATGGATCCAGCACTGTAGTTAAAGTGAAGGAAAACAGTTCTCTTTGCCTAGTGCTGAGTGACATGAGATGCTGTAAGTCACAAAGCAGATATCATCTTACCCATTTGTTTGCTTGCTAAACTTATACAACGTATTAGGAAAAGAAGAACAAGCAACAACAGCAACAGCGTCCCCCATAACAGTGATAGAATACTTTGGCAGCATGCTAACAGTAAACAAAACAAGACTCCAACCTACTGACTAGCAGATAAAAATAAAAACTCAACACCAAAAGCGTTGGACTAGGACCTGGGAGACCAGGGTTTGAATCCCCACACAGCCATGAATCTCACTGGGTGACCTTGGACCAGTCACTGTACCTCAGCCTAACCTACCTCACAGGGTTGTTGTTGAAATGAGGGGGAGAACCATGTAAGCTGCTTTGAACTCCTTGGAAGGAAAGGTAGATATAAATGCAATAAATAGTAACAGCAACAATATCCTCCCTAGCCCCAAAATCACTCACATTAACCCAATTTTTCTTCTTTTAAATCTCCCCACCCCACCCAGGAGTCTGGTATTAAGGCCAGCTGCTGTAAAGTTGTGGTGGGTGAGTTCAGGGTCCTCCAAGAATAGTCCAGCACCTCTCCTCTAATTTCGGGGGGAGCAGCAGCAAAAGCAGAGCAGGAAGATGGTAAAAGTTTCACCTGCTCTGCACTTGTTTTGGGTGTTGCTGTTCTCCTGCTGCTGGAGGTTAATTTATTCAGTGATATGAGATTTCAGGGCAACTGAAAATACTTCTTCAATAGGGTTGAGCACTATATCCTAGGCATTGTTATCCATTTTTAAAGTGAAATTTCAGCTTTTTTGCCGTTACAGTGGTTGGTTAGAAACAAGCTTGTCTTTTAAAACAGCCTTTACAAAGCAGATGCCTTCCAGATGTTTTGGGCTGCAACTCCCATCAGCCCCAACCAGATAACCATGCAAGGACTTTGCTGCCCTTCCTATCACTCTGTGGTGTGGAATACCAGGATTGTGTACTGGGCAACTGAGTAGGGCATCAAAAGTCTTTCAGAATCTTTTCAAGATCCCCTTCAGTGTGCTAATTGATATATACAGTACTTCATTTTCTCTCTGCAGAAACCCAAGGAGATGTTGTGCCTGCATAGTGCACTATGTGGGAACCTTCTAGAACAGGGTAGGGCATTGCACATTCTTCAGAGCCTGTTGGAGATTATGGATTATGGCCAGAGAGTGTGCAAAACTGATATATGCATATTGCCCAAGTCCTGTTGGGATTATGCATAATGACTGGTGAATGTACAATTTTTTGTTTATGTATATATATAGACGTTCTCCAAGACATGTTGGCACTTACATATGTTGACCAGGAAATTACACCTTTCCCACTTCATGGCTGGATTTTGTGCACATACTCCATGAGGCCTGGTTGTTATGCACATTAGCCACCCAACTTACCTCTCCCTTAACATGTGATGCTTCTTGTGATGTGGAGGAACAATATGGTGATATCAACATCACATTATGACTGTGAAGTAGGTGAGTCACCATGTGGAGCTGCTTTAAGGGTCTCTGGTTCCAAAGGTCCCCTTAGGCTAGACTTCAGCTTCCAGTTCCTGAAGGCCCAGAACAAGACAATGGATTGTATGCAAGGCTGTCCCAGTCATGGTGCCAAACTAGATCTCTCTAGAGAGCCAAAATGTGAGTGGCATGTGCTTTTGTTTCATGGAGCCATTCTCATGATTGACAGCTTTCTGGTCCCCAGGGCCCAGACAGTGCTGTGAAGGAGAGGAAGAAAATAAACATCAGGCATTATGAATGAAATAAAAAGATAGGATCTGCGTCAAAACTTGATCATTGAAGGTGCTATTGTTACAATGCTTAGCAAGGGTGACTGTGGAAAAAAAATGAATTCAGAGCAGCAGACAGCCTTGCTAGTGAGGCAGATCGTTGGAGCTCCTCAACCCATAATTCATTGCTAACCCAAACATTGTCTCTGCTTCTGTGGTCCATTCACACTGCAGGTCTCAGGGGTTGCTTTTGCTTCAAGCTCCTGCAGGTGAAGCCCACTGTAACAAATACACACCTGATGTCCTTGTTCCCTCTATCCCCTCACTTTCCCAGGTGAAGTACGTGGAAGAGGAGTTCAAGGAAACAGAAAGGGCATGGATTCTGCTGCTTTGCATTGGAGCTACATCAGGGGTTGGGCGTTTGGCTTCAGGGCCAATAAGTGACCTCATCCATGGGCCGAAGAAGATTTACCTACAGGTAGGCAGCAAATCTCTGAGTTGTTACAGCATTTGTAGTATTGAAGGACCATTTCCAGTCCGCCTCTTCAATTAAACTTTTGGGAAGGCCGTCCATTTCTTCACGGCCCAGTCAGTGACCTCCTGCCTTCAGAGTGCAGGTGCTCTGTGCATTTATGCCCTTCCTACTAGTGATACTTACTTTTAATATTTAACTGGAGCATCTGTGAGAGGGGTGAATTGTCTGGCCCCCAGACCACTGATGAGGATAGAGTCACTGGGCCCTGAGAATACACAAATCAGCCAACCTTCCTCTTAGGTGCTGTTCCTAGTTTACAGTCCTTTCAGTCTCTTAACACCCTTGGGTGTGGTGGAATCGCTCCAAGTTTGTTGCCTGAATGACATCAGTATTTTGTCTCCTCAGGTTGCCTCCTTTATACTCTTGGGTATAATGTGCATGATGATCCCACAGTGCCAAGAGTTTTGGGGGGTCATTATTGTCTGCCTTTTCCTTGGACTTTGTGATGGACTCTTCATAACCATCATGGCTCCCATTGCTTTTGAGCTGGTTGGGCCCATGCAGGCATCTCAAGCCATTGGTTATCTCCTGGGACTTATGGCCATTCCAATGACAGCGGGTCCCCCAATTGCAGGTAAGTGAATTGTCAGGCTGGGTTACCTTGATTAAAGTAAATGGTTTTTGGAACTTCCAACAGGACTTCTCCCTGCAGAGGCATAAGTAATTGATAAAGGGTGTGCAGACTCATACTGGGCTCTTGCCTTATAGCCCAGAAATCTCCATGTAGTTGCAACTGGACCTGCACCAGTACCAAAATGTGCCTGGCACCTGGGGAATTTGGAACGCTGTCCAAGTGGCACAGCCATGAGTGCATTCCAAAGCAGGTGGAAGGCGCCAGGTTGGCAAAAGCTGGTGATAAAACCATTCTCTCCTGTTTTGTAGGATTTCTCGGTGAACATTTTGGGAATTACCACCTCGCCTTCTATTTTGCTGGTGTTCCTCCCATTGTTGGGGGTCTGGTTCTGTCTCTTGTTCCTCTGATCCATCAAAGACAGCTCAGGAAGAAGCGGCTGGATTCTGGGAAAGACAAGATGCTGGTTTCAGAGACCATTATGAACGGAGAGCTTCTCCCCGGTTCTCCAGCCATGGAGGCCCACATGTAAAGCCATCCTTCAAATCTCCCAGTGCCCTGGTGCACACACTGTCACCACCAGCATTCTCTGGCACTGTACCTGAGCCCAGCCCTTCCCGAAGAGGAATCAAGCTTCTTCGATTGTAGGCAAGGACTGGTCACGTAAGGACAATCCTGATTGGACAGTTTCACCTTTCAAGTTGATTCTGTTTGGCTCTCTCCTACAGAGAGAATTCTTGTAGCGCTATAACTCGTTTGCCCTGCTATGATTGTTGGCACAGCAATGGATTACACATAGGAAGGTGTTAAAAGTTGTAAAAATCGATTCCTCAGTCCAGCCCCCTCCTCTCCACCACCAAAATTCTAAAGCCATGCTTGGATATCTTGCCTTGAAAGTGGAGTTTAATCTCACTGTGAGATCCTTTGGGAGTTAATTTTGTATCAGCCAAATTCTCAAAAGTCTGAAACACTCAAGGAGGCTAAAAAAGGTAAATTTTGAATCACGTTTTTTCTTTTGAATCTGACTCTGAAATTGTAGGAAAGCGTACTTGGTTTTCTTAGCAGCCTTTTTCAGATAACTTTTTTTGCCACCTACTTTTACTAAATGCATCCCTCTGTCAAAAGGATCCCTCTCTGCTTCCTCCAATTCAACTGTCCCTGTGGCAGATATTGCTTCTCTCAAGGTATGCAGTCCAGTGTTTTCAGAATAGTGTTCTCCAACCATTGCCTGAGTGGGTTCATTGCATAGGAAAACAGATTTAACTCTTGAAAGTGTGGGTGGTGATGTCCAACTCTCTAATACTTTCAGTTTGGCAAAATGTAGTTTATCTCTCTCCATTAATAACTCATTATCGTCCAAGCCGCCACCCTTCCGACTTGCAGATTTCATACAGGACCAGATTTAGAATAATTATTTTACTAGAAAGAATTTACAGAGCAGCGTTTCCGTGCGCTGCTCTGGTTCGCCAGAAGCGGCTTAGTCATGCTGGCCACATGACCCGGAATCTGTACGCCGGCTCCCTCGGCCAATAAAGCGAGGGATGAGTGCCGCAACCCCAGAGTCGTCCGCGACTGGACCTAATGGTCAGGGGTCCCTTTACCTTTACTAGAAATAGTGCATTTGGGCCTCAAGGAGGACTGCTCCATAGGAATTGGTATGTGCATTTCTCTCCAAGATTGTTTCGACTAGAATAGTTGAGGTTGATAAAACCTCCTTCCTCTTTGCACAAGGACTTGAGACATTCATTCCAATGCAGATTCTGCAACCCATGTGTGGAAACAGATTTTCTGCATGCAGAATTGTGTTGAGTGCCCCAGAACCCTCTGCGAGTAGGTCCGGGTGGGGAGGACCAGCAACTTGTTACCACATGTGGGTCTTCACAGGAATCTCCATTTGGAAGCATGAAGATTGGTCTCCTAGGAGCATACTCTTCTTCCTGGGAGCAGCAGCTGACATGTGCACGGGCTTCTGTTATACTTGGGAGTTCCCTGGATCAGGGTAATCTTTGCATGGGAAAAGTGGTTCCTTAATCCCCTTGCAAAGGTAGCTAATCATCATATTTCTTCTGGTTTGGTCTGGGGTCAGTGTTGTAGAAGCTCCCGAAAGCAGCCAGGCATTTGCCAAAATAAAAACTTTGCTTTAACCCCAGCTGAGATTTTGTGTTGGGTCATGTGCTGATGTCTTTCTGCTTACTCACCTTTGACTTCTCCATCCAGTGTCACCTACCTCTTGGGAAAGGCCTGTTCAGGTGTTCGTATGTGGGGGTTCAGTTCCAAGGGTTTTGTGTATACATGAAAATCGGTATACTCAAACTCTTGGAGGTGCAAATGAGTGGTAGGGAGAGGAAGAACCCCCCCCCCAATATTCTCAGAGCCCACATGCCAAGTGGGCCTTGCCTGGGAAACAAGGTGGAGAGCTTAGAAGCTGCCAGGTAAGGCCCTCTCAGCAGGCAAGCTCTGGAAGGCGGTGCTTGCACGAGATCTTGCAGGAACTCAGATGGCACTGCGAAATCTTATGCAAGCATCCCTGAGCGCACTGAGCAGGCCTTAGACCTCAAGCAAAGCAGAGCTTTAAAGTTCTTTATACGCCAGGTAACCCCAAGCAGACCTGGCACAAAGAGTGCCTTTAAACTCACTGCCTTGCTTGGATTTAACTTGCACGATTTCAGCGCACCTACCTTCCACTACATATGGTTGAAATCACGCCTTTTCACGTCTGCATCTTTATTTTGAGAGTATGGAATAAGATAGAGGGATATTAAGTGGTCTAGGATCTGGGAAACCAGTGTTAACATCAGCCATGAAAACTCATTGTATGTGACCTTGAGCCAGCCACTGTCTCTTCTCTAAGCCTTACCCATCTCACAGGGTTGCTGTGAAGTGCCTCCTTGAGCTCCTTGGAGAAAAGGTAGAATAGATATAATGCAATACTGATAAATAAGGAGTGAACAAAACAAAAAGGTTTCTCTCCAACCTGCTTTTCCCCAATTTTGAACTGGGGAAGGTGAGCTGGGTGTGGAATAACGTGGGGTAAAGCCTATCATAAAAATCAAAGGAAAAAACAGATCTGGGACACAATCAGGATATTTAGAGCTACAAACATTGGACTTAATGGGCAGGTCATTCAGTATGTGGCTGTCTGCTAGGACAAGCTTTCATGGCTGGGCTGTGCAGGCAAGGTGCAATCCATGATCCTATAGTGCATATAGACTCTGCAAGCTGAGCTCCCAACCAAATCATGTTCTGCACCACCTGCTTTTTGGCCCAACATCCTTCTTCGAAGGATTGCCCCCAGTAGTGTTTGTGAACTGACCTCCACGGTAGACTGCAAACAAGGTGGTCAGCCTGTGTGGGGACTGTACCACACTCCAGACCTCAGCAGGTGATCCCATGATTGAATGCCTTTTGACACCAGGGATGGGAAAACTAGAAAAGACAGATAAGTAGGTGCTAAAGGAAGACAAGGCTGGAACTGTATTCCTTGACACTTCTTCTGTTTTTGTCTCAAGGGAATTCTTTGCTATCCATGGGCGTTCAGCCCAAATGAACCTCCTTCCCACCCCACCCCGCCTTCCGAAATGGTGCAGTCTACAAAAAATTCCCCCACCACAATGAGAGCTGGGACCCAACCATTACACCTTTTATGAGACCTTGTGCTCTGCACACCCACTGTGATAACAGTCATATTTCAGAGAGGTGGGCTGTACTCAGGGCAGGAAGAGCCTCGATTCCAGGCCACCTGGAAAGCCACCTTTCATCTACAGCGCAGAATGGGAACAAGCCCCCAGAAACTCCCAGTGGGCTGGTTGTTATGCCCAGAATGTATGTTGCAGAGACAGTGCAGTAGAATCAACCCTTTCTGAATCTACCAGAACTTGGCAGTGCCTCAGTAGCCTTATCTCCTGGTCAAGGGACATTTGTTTAATGTAGCCACTGAGTGCTGGTGGATTCAGAAAGCTACTGACATATAAAAAGAAAGTCCTTCATGCAGTGCATTGTTAAACTATGGAGTTTTCTCCCACAGGAGGCAGTGATGGCCGCCAACCTAAACAGCTTCAATAGAGGATAGGGTAAGGCTATCCATGACTACTAGCCATGAGGGCTGTGCTCTGCCGTCATGGTTGGAGGCAGCTCTGCTTCTGAATACCAGAAACCCTAGGAGAGGAGGGTGCTCTTGTGCTTGGGTGCTGCTTGAAGATTTCTCATCGGAGCATCTGGTCAGCCACTGTGAGAACAGGATGCTGGACTAGATTGGCCCCTGGTCTCATCCAGCAGGGCTCTCATTATGTTCTACCGTATTGCCTCTCTTCTTAAGGTAATTTACTCAGAGTATTAACCATCTGTAAGTTGCCTGAGCCTCATCCATGGAGGTATCAAAATCATTTGGGTCCTTCCCTATAAAGACCATTTAGAGAGTGAGAGAGGAATCATGTGTACGCTTCTCCCACCCACCTAGCTGCCCTTTTGTGTTCCTTTTCCCCCCAATAAATTTTTATTGTTCTCTTTACATATTCTTTCTTACAATACTTTAATCAACACAAAACCATTTTAGCTCTGCTTGTGACTTCCCTCCCTCCCTTCAGTTGGTATCCCATATCACATCCATTCACGTATTTTATCTTTTCACTTTTTCCATCTACATTGTAGGAGTTTCTTCAGTCCTGCTAGTGTCCTTAAATTTGTACATCTATCTTTTAAATATACAGTGGTACCTCTAGATGCGAACGGGATCCATTCTGGAGCCCCGTTCACATCTAGAAGCAAACGTAACCAGCGATGGCACATCTGCGCATGCGCGCGCCGCTTTTTGCCACTTCTGCGCATGCGCGTGATGTCATTTTGAACGTCTGTGCATGCACAAGTGGCAAAACCCAGAAGTAACGCGCTCCGTTACTTCCAGGCTGCCGCGGAGTGCAACTCAAACACGCTCATCCCAAAGCACATTCAACCCGAGGTATGACTGTACAATAAATTTACTCCCCCCTTTTGTGTTCCAAGCTGATTGTTATTTAAGAATAGCCATATTCCTGGATATATTTTGTATTCACAAGATATACAGGGCTTTTAAAAGAGAGAAAATCTAGTTGTAGTGTATTGGTTAGGAGACTGAGTTCAGGACTGAGAAGCCCTCCTTCAGATCTCACCTCAGCCACAAACTCAATAGCTAGATATTAGTCTAAAGCTTACCCCTGCCCCCAGTCAATTTGCAATATCAGGTCTACTGCCCTGCCTTCAGGATTGTTGTATGATTTACATGAAGATAATGCATGTAAGGCACTATATAAATACTAACAATTACGCTTTCAATTTTTATCATATATTTCCATGAGCAGTCTTTGTACTTTGCTATGAATCTTAACCTCCACTTGCCAAAATAATCCCCAAACATACAATATGCTAGTCTGAGATCCAAAACAGTAGCTTTATCCTTGAAGCCGAGCCTTCAGTTCCCTGTGTCAGGGCCGTTTTGATGTTGCAAATCTTCAGAGAAAATGTCCCCATTTTCCTGCCTAGATCTTGAAGGCCAGAGTCTGGAAGCGGACTGTTTCACTCCTGTTCCTCACCTCTTTTTGCCTGCTTTCTGTGCTTTCTGTTTAATGACTCTCCCTCGTTAGATGGAAACAGCTACTGCCTCTGGTCTTCTGCCAAAGGTAGATCATCACTGTCCATGATATATGCGTACCTGTTAGGATCTGCCATCATTGCCACATCATAACCACATGACAGAGGCAGCATTGTATAATGTTCTCCTCAATCTGTGACTTATGAAATCTTCACCTGTCTCGGAGATAAACTGCTGAAATCAAAGTGAGAGCACAATGATGTGTCATGGGGCAGCTAAGCTGTGAGTGGGTGGGGGTGGCCAGCTGGTGAATGTGGTGATCACATTCAGATAAGGCATGTTGGAGCCACACTTTCTTGGTAGTTTTCACTCTTGAGTCTATAGCTCTAACATGTTAAACAGTCATGAAAATGAAAGAGGCGTTTGACTGCCACTTCAGCACTCTGAGATATTTAAATGCCATCCCCTGAGGAAGAGAAGGAAGAGAAGGTGAAGAAGATAAATGGTATACACGGTTGTTACCAAGGCTTTCAGTTTTTGGTTGCAAAATCTTTTGCTGTATCTCTGAGATATGGGGACGGTTGATGGGGTAGAGGGAATAGAAAATTCTAGTTCCAAATGCTGTGGTGGTTTGCCGAATGCCAAAACTGGTGTTAGCAGGCAGTTTTTCCTTCTTTGTGATGCAATTTGTCCTTGCAAGATAATACTGTTTCTGCAAAACACTAGACTGTTGGAGCTGGAGGTGCAGTTTGTGTAATCCTCTGATCAACATCAGTTTGGAAATCCAATGATCACTTCCATTAGAGTCCCTGGAAGCCTTTTCAGAAGGACCCATTTTTATTAGGATGAAATTTCCACGTGCCTGAGGGGGCAGAGGCTCAGGCAGGGCACAGAGTCATCCAACATGGGGAGGAAACAGCCCCACGTGGTGCCCTCCCCCCTGGGTTGATCATGCCATC